TTCAATTATTGCAATATTTTATGCTCGAAGACCTTCACAAGTTGAACAGATTTTTACAAAAAGAATGATTAGTGGACATTGCTCCAATTTGTCAATTAAATTAAGAGTTCACATCATGATTAACAAGGTCATCTACCATCTTTCATGACATGGATTTAATTGCCCTCAGGGGCTTGGTCTGGTGGTTGAGATTGCTGAAGATGGAGATTCAGGTCCCTGGTTCGAACCTTGCTGCCAGCAAGTTGCTGAGGGTGGTGAATAGTCTGCGGGGTCCACTCCCTGCGGGACACACCTAAAAAACAAAAAAATGACATGGATTTAATTAAAACAGATGGTTAAATGAAGCTAATGCAATGAATTAAAAAAGCTGGGAATTCCCTCACGTTTGATTTATGGCCTAATCCAGATAATTGAACTGACGTATATGTATATTATTATCGTCAAGATTACTAAGGCTTTTGAAATCAGAATTTCATCAAGTTTTTTTTTTTTTAAACAGTGCTCTCTCTTTAGTCATAAAAACTTATTTTAAGTTTTAGCTTCTTAAGTTAACTGAAATTGGACTGACATTCTACCCCCATACACGGGGTTTGTCCAAAAAAATAAAAAATAGATAATTGAGATTGGTCAATAGAGTATTGAGCAAACAAATGTTTTGCTTAATCTAAAATCATACAAAAAAAGGAAGTGAAGGCCTCACTGAAGTAGCCTCAAGAAAAGAAGATTTTATTAGAGGGACACCAGAATTTTTTCTTCATTGTCAATTTTAATATGGTAATTGACTTGAGATTTCAAATTCAGCGAAGTACACTATTGAAACTACAATCGTACTATGATGGGAAAATGCATACCATATAGATATAGGTTTAACCTCCCAATTTCTAGAACCCATAAATTATGCTTTAAAAAACCACTACAATAGCTTGAGGCAAGACCCAGACAAAAGTTTTTCAAAGAGGCCCATTTCCGAGAAAGCAGAGAGTTTCCTTATGCAGCCTAATGATGGCACTTAAGGACAGAAATTTCCAAGATTGGTCAAGTGTAAATGCAGAAATTTTGCAGGTGTGGACGGATTAGAACAACGTGTAATATGGTCAAGGAGACGAGATTCGACTTGCCAAAGAACAACTTTGGCTACTTCAGTCCTGAGTTAAGGCTACTTCAGTCCTGAGTTAACCACCAGCCTTTGGCAATGCATTAAGGCTTGGTGCCACAATTAAATGTGGCCATGTTTAAAAAATTCAGGCGGGTGTGTTGTGCACCCGTTTGGTCCGATAGTGGTTCAATTCCTTTCGGATTACTTCAAGACCTCTTCCGGCCCTCCCCCTCGCTATAGTGTAGGACGCTATCGTATCGACAAAAAAAAAAAAAAAAAAAAACTTCAATACTGAGTTTCTGACTTCATTTCTCATATGGTTCTAGTTTAGACGAAATGGTTATTTGATCAATACTCTAGCTACCAATCCAAAGTGATTTAGAAGCCAAAACATAAAATAGATTTTTAAGAGAAAGCACTAAGGTTAGAAAAACCTTGATGAAAACTTTTGGACCAGGAGAAAAGGCATGCGAAAGCAAAGAAATATTATACATCAATTTGATTAACAGGATTAGGCAATAATGCAGTAAAAGAATCAGATAATTCAAACTTGAGGGAATTCCCAGCTGTTTTAATGCATTGCATTAGATCCATTTAACCATCTGTTTAATCAAATGTCATTCCACTCACTTAATTGCACAGTTGGCTTAATTGCTCAATTCCACAAGCAAGATTATACAAAGAATTAGTTTTGACGTTTCAATCACTAATGAAATACGAGCTATATTTGTGATCCTCAGCAACCAATAGAAATTAATTAATCCATGTGATGAAAGATGGTAGATAACCTTGTTAGTCATGATGTGAACTCTTAATTTAATTAGCAAATTGGATCAACGTCCACTAATCATTCTATTGCAAAAACTTGTTCAACTGGTGAAGGTCTCACCCACAAAATATTGTGATGATTGAAACAGTATTGTTATTTTATTGCACGTTTTATTGGTAAGATAACTTATTTTGTCTCAAGTTGCAATGCCATCTTTAAATACATGAATTGTTTCTCCTTAGCCCTACTGTCACCAGGAATGGCAGAGTTGTACCTCGCTAAATAAATTTTCTAATACAGGTTTTTCTTTCTTTTATTTATTTTTTCTACAAACATGACCAGCTCTTTTGGTGCTTAGCTGATGGAAAAAGAAATCATTCCATATGTGGAAGTTGTACTCGAAATTGGGATGGAGGTGATATGAGTTCTAAATCATAGTACAGGTCGTTGGATAGTGAATTATTTGGAATAATTTTTTGAAAAAAAAAATATATTGTAACACTTTTTTGATGTGATGTAGATGAAATATAAAGATAATTGAAAAATGTGTTGATGATGTAAGAAAACAAATTATACAAATAATTTACAATCCAAACAAGCCCATTATTATATTCTTAGTCCAACTCAAGTGTGCCGAGATAGAAAAGAATTATTGTAATAATTTTTTATGATGTGAGTGCAGATACAAGTGAGATACAAAAGTGAATAAAGAATGTGCAATGACACTAAAGACAAAAATATATTTAAAATGGCAATATTACCCAAAGTCTATGAATATTTTCTCAGCGCTTCCCCCTGATTCACTTAATTTGGAAGTACTAAAGACAAAAATATCATAAACATTCAAAATTTTAGAAAAATAAAATTGTAAAACAAAAAAGATATGTGACAAAGTGCTAAAAACACATACAAACACACACAAAACCAAAATAGATAAGTCAAAAACAAAATAGAGTTTTCGTGCAATTAGCAATAAGAATTCTGTAAAAGGCAGTCAAACCTAAAAAGGAGAGAAACTAAGAAATAGAAAAACAAAAATAGAAAGCTGCTACAATTCTTATGGCCTCCAGATAATTGTTAGGAAATTGGTTTAAATTCTTTTAGGTAGATTTCTTATTTGGTGTGGGAAGTAGATAGTTTCCTAATTGGATTTAGTTACTTGAAATAGTAGTCAAGTAAAGCTCTATTTAGCAGGAATTAGATGTTATTTCCTACTCTATATAAGTTTAAGAAATAATATTTGTTTCCAATTGTTATTTGATTTTTTTGGCAGTAATGTTCCCTATAAATACGTGGGTTGACATACTACACAAGAGACACACAAGACACACACAAGGAGACACAAGAAGCATTATGTAATTTTATACATGGGGTGTGAGAGATGGTTCTTGGGAGATGAGAGATGGTATACAAGGGTTGGATTTGGATTCAAGTTGTATTCTTGTATAGGGTTTTCCTCTCATAATAAAGAATAGGTTTCTCTCCGTGGATGTAGGCTCAATGGTGGAGTCGAATCATGTTAAATATTATGTGTTGTCTATCTTTCATACTTGTGGCTTGTTCCTCATTAAATTGTTGTGCACTTGATGTCTCAATAGTTGTTTGTTCCGCGCCTGGATCCTAACAAGTGGTATCAGAGTTTGGTTACGAGACTGGACTACTCAAGGTTCGTAGTTGGATCCTAGTTAACTATTGAGATCAAGTGGATTGGTAACTGTTACTAATTGAACAATTTAATGAGTGATATCCTTGTTTCAATGGTTTGGCAAAAAGTATTGATGGTAAAGGATGAAAAGTAGAAAAGTATGGAGATACTTGACGGTGAATCTAAGCATGTGATTCAAGGGTCAAGGAAAAAGTGGAGTCCAAATTGGTGGAGACTTTCTCACACCTCCAACGGTTGATACTTCATGCCGGTGAATTTTAGATTTCGGTTATGTTTTTTGGGTGGTATGGCACGCGTCCCAAAGAAAACATGGAGATCTAATTTTCATGCGCCAGAAGACTCTGACAGTTATGAGTTTTTTGTTTCAGGTGGAGTCTTAGAAACCACACGTGGCGAGACAGTTCTGAGGATGGGAAGAAGTATGGTGATTTTATCACTTGATTGCCTCAATGGTTAGGGTTAGAACTCACAAAAGGGGATCCCGAATTGCAAGTGGTGGTGAGAAAAAATCATGCAAAGGGAGATGGTGAATTGAGTCATCTTCTCACGAGTCAACTGGAGGTTAGATTCGGGGTAACTACACATGTTTATTTGCCGATTGAATTAATTTGGTGTCAAGATTGTATTGGTTCGAATGTGTAGTTTGGTACCATATTATTTGGTAGTTGAAGGTAAATGGTTGCTAAAAGAAATTTTCGCCAAGATGGAGATTTGTTAGGAAATTGGCTTAAATTCTTTTAGGTAAATTTTTTATTTGGTGTGGGAAGTAACTAGTTTCCTAATTGGATTTAGTTACTTGAAATAGTAGTCAAGTAAAACCCTATTTAGCAGGATTTAGATGCTATTTCCTACTCTATATGAGTTTAGGAAATAATATTGATTTCCAATTGTTATTTGGTTTTTTTGGCAGTAATGTTCTCTATAAATAGATGGGTTGACATATTACACAAGAGACACATAAGACACACACAAGAAGACACAAGGGGCATCATGTAACCTTATACATGGGGTGTGAGAGAGGGTTCTTGGGAGATAAGAGATGGTATACAAGGGTTGGGTTTAGATTCAAGTTGTATTCTTGTATAAGGTTTTCCTCTCATAATAAAGAACAGGTTTCTCTCTGTGGATGTAGGCTCAATGGTGGAGCCGAACCACGTTAAATATTATGTGTCGTCTATCTTTCATGCTTGTAGCTTGTTCCTCATTAAATTGTTGTGCACTTGATGTTAATAGTTGTTTGTTCCGCGCCTGGATCCTAACAATAATTACCACGTTTAATCATTACATTGATCTTAATCTAATCGAAATCACATTGGCCCATTAGCACTGGTATCGACTTGTTTTCTCCCCACTGGACTATTTAAAAACCTGTTCCAGGCGGTAGTCTTCCAGCTGAGTTAGCAGGTGAAAGAACACACGAGTTGACTTCTTGCAGAGTTCTCTCAATTTCTCCCCCTCTGGGCTCTAGCGGACCAGGACAGACAGGAATTTGAGGTAAAGAAAACTAAACTTTCAACACCATTTTAGCTTTGTATGGCAAAAATGTGTTCTTCTTGAGCTTTTCTTGTACTAATAATGTTGGTTTCCTTCATCTTTTGCCCTGCAGAAGAAAAAGGTGAATCCATAAGGTTCAAGAAGAAAATGGCATTTCTCATAATAATGGGTAATTCTTCTTACCTCTGATTCATCCACATATTTCTGCTTATTTGACTTGTTCGTCTGTTCGAAATTGGCCCTCCTGCTGGATTAGTCCAATCTCTGGATGGTACTAATGCTATTTTTCTTGCTCTGTTGGCAGTTCTGTTATGGGCAGATATGCTTGCAACATATGTGATGTGGATAATGCAGAAATACTTAACAGATGTTTGGAAGCTGGGAGTTACTCATGCTGCTGGAATCATGAATATCTACACCGGCCTCACTAAATTTCTCCCGTTAGTCTTTTTCATCTTTGTGGATGCTGGCCTTAGTAACTACAGGAGTCTGCTTCTCTCAAGTATAGCCTTTTCTATTGTAAGTTCATCTGCTGGTCAACTCCTTTTCATCTAGTTACTTCATTTAATTGAACCATGATTATACTTCCAGTCCACTGTTAGAGACAAATGATTTAACTCTAATGACTCTTAATTAGCTACAAATTCGCCCCTAACAAACTGAGAATATCGATGTCAATTGTGTCCTTTGATGCTTGTATTAATGCAGTTGGTGTAAACTGTTGAAAAGGAATTGTCTTCAGGTATGAATGATTGCTGGGACTGGACATCAATCATCATTCCCAATACTAGTTTTGTCTCTTTTGAATGTGTGACCATTAGTTTGAGGCCACTGTGAATTTGTAACTCAAGAACATTAGTTAAAAATGATAATTAGTCTCTCTTGAATTTTCCATCTCCACTGGGTGACAGGGTATGGGATTTCTGTCAATGTCAACACCACCAGTTCTACACAAGGTCACAGGGACCTGTAAAGATTATGAGCCAAACTGCCTTGGTCATACACAAAAGGCCCTATTCTACACAGCTTTAGCATTGATAGCAGCTGGATTAAGTGGACGCGTTGTCTCACTGGTTGCATTTGCAGAGAATCAGATTGAAAAGGATCCAAATTGTAAAACAAGCTCAATGTCCTTGGATTGCAAAGGTCCTGATGGAAAATTGATAAAAAGGCCGAGCTTACAATTCCCATCATTCAAGGTCAAGAAGCCGAGCTTACGGCTCCCATAATTCAAGGTCAATAATCAGGAGAGAGAGAAGCAACAGCAAACCGATGGTACTAAAAAGACTGAAGTTGATCTATCACGACTTCAATTCCAACCACTAGAAGCTATGCTAGCCCTTGCGCAAAACCAGAGTGGAAAACTCCTTGGTACTTCTTGTATAATCCTTGTTCCTGTTATTGGTTTAATTGCTCTACCATATATAAAACCATGGTCACTTCGGTTTGGAATCCCAACAATCTGTACATTGGTGGCAACACTTGCATTTGTGCAAGGTACACAATCGTGCAACAAAGAGGAAAATAGACCTGCAGAAGGAAGTCCAGTGACAAATGTTTTCAGAGTCTTTGTGGCCTCCACACTCAAAATGTTTGAAGATCCCAAGCGATATTCAGAGCTTTATGGCAAACAGTCCAAGGGGCTACTCAGGTGTGACAAAATTTGTCCAACTGGTATTTTGTTTTCTACACATTATTTAACTTCCCAAGATTGATTAACTCGTTCGTTTATAAAAACTGGATTCTAGTCAATCATTGCTGGCTCTTGATAGTGGTGCAACAATTTGTATGATTTAATGCCAAATGTAGTAAGAAACTCATCAATTCTGTGCCTGCCCCCTGCTTCCAAATTCCATGGAACTCTAGTTTCTCATTCTAAATAGTACCAATGGCTTATGATAGTTTGCTAAACTCTAATAGTTCATATGCTTTCCAATCAAATATCTACATTGCCATTGGAATGGTTTTAGAGTTGTGAAATTTCCAGCAGACTTATAAGTTTAGATTATCTACGCTCATTTAGTCCAAATGTGAATTTATTATATCCTGTTCTATACTGAGAAAGCATGATGCATTTAATTTTCTCAACTCTAGCTCTAGCTCATTTTTATCTTTTGTTCATTTGGCGCAGTTTCTTAGACAAGGCTACCATCCCATTGACGACTGAAATTGAAGAACCAGAAAAATACAGGTGGAGACTGTGCACTCGGACAGAAGTAGAGGAGACAAAAATCATAATCCGCATGATTCCCATTTGGATCACCTTTGTAATTTGTGGTGTCATTACTTCTGTTGGAAACACATACTTCGTAGAGCAAGCAAACCACATGAATTACAAGATTGGAAAACTAAAGTTGCCCGATTCTGTCATTCTGGTGTTCTATGAAATATCAAAGTCACAGTTTAAGTCAATCTACGACGCCATTGGAAGGTTCTTAAGAGGAGAACGACAAGAAAAGTATGCCCCCTCAATTGGCATTGCGCTTGCTACGATCTTCTCAGTGTTGTGCTGCATAACTGCTGCTGGAATCGAAACTCGAAGGATACATGTGATCAGAAGTCATGGATTGCTAGATAAACCGGATGACAAGATCCCTTTAAGTGCTCTTGTGCTTCTTCCATAGTATTTTTTCCTAGCAGGTCTGGACTCGTTCTTTGAAAACAGTGTTACCCCTTTCTTGATTGATCAGAGTCCTCCGTCGATGAAGAAGCACCTTGTCTATCTCAGTCCAGGATTATCCGAGCTAGGAACAGTCGGAAGTGTTTTATCAGTTTATGTTGTAGGTAAAATTAGTGAAAGGAGAGGAAAATCGAATTGGTTTCAGTACACATTAAATCAGAGTCGCCTGGATCGCTACTATTGGGTGCTTGCTATCCTGAGTGCTGCAAATTTCCTGTGGTTTGTATTCTGGGCCAAATTGTTCCCTCTTAGAGAACCCGGTTCAAATGACAAGAAAGCAACTGGAAATGATATAGAAAAGGCTGGAAATAAAGGAGTTCAGGAAGAAGATAGATATATAGAAGCTGGAAATGAAGAAAATAAGGAACGTACTGGAAATTGAGAATTGACTGAAACTACTGCAGGTTTTCTTACAGATGTATTGATGGCTAATATTGATAGGTTGCAATTTTATCATTTATTTTATTATTAATTTCCCTTATTACCTGATCCGATGTGGATTAATTGCTGGATTCTACTCACTTTTAGTATTTGGCATATATTTCAGGAAATAAAACGAAAATATGATATTAAGTGCCAATTTAACAAGAAAAGAGCACTTTTTACGGAGCTTATTCCAGGGGCATCATTAGCAAAGGAAGACTTTTGCCCATTTTTGTAATTTCAAAAGAAAGGGCACGGCAGAGGCTTCGATTTTTTCTGAGGGGAGCCGCCGCACATGAAAAGAGGCATTGGATAGGAATTAGAATGAATGGTGCAGAGAACAAGCACTAGGGGAGCTTAGCTTTTCTTTTAACTTTTCTCCTTAGTATTTCGTCCTCTAGTGGTTTTTGCTCCTGCGTTTGCCAGGAGCAATTAGGAACAAGCAAATTGGATGATGTTGACTTTTCCTTTCATTCTTAGTTGCTTTTCTTTTCTTTTCGGTAGGAGTAGACAAGGGATGATTTAAATCTCTTTGTCTAGTCAAGGAATAACGGAGGTTTTGGATCGCCTAAAATTGTGAGATCGATTTAATTTCATCTTTTTCTATTATTTATTGGTATTTACATATTCCTTGATTGTAGTGTTTATGATTATTTAATTAATTGATTGTCTTGGATCCGGATAATTAGTTAATTTGGTAATCTACTGTCAATTAAGGTATTAAATCCGTAATTATTTAATTACCTCAAAATAGTGACAACTGGCATGATTAGATTTGTGACAGGAGAATACGCGGGCTAATCTAAAATAACCCTGGTAGTGCGTTATTTGGTTAGAATTAGAGGTGGCAAATCAACCCACTTAACTAGATTTACCCATACCCGCCCATGAATAGATGGGTATGGGTATCTTAAATTTTTGTATATGGGTATAAATGGGTTACCCAATAATACCCATTTATTAAATGGGTATTATTGGGTAACCCATCAAACCCAATTAACCCATTTAAAGTTCTCTTCCCCCCAAGTCTCTTCTTTTCCCCTACCTTTTTTTTTTTTTCAAAATTTTCATTTTGTCATGATGTTAACATTATTATTATTATTATTATTATTATTTGTTGGTTTTATCTTATTATTTTATTTTTTTTTAGTTTGTTAACTTGATCATTTTTTAGCATCACCAATTTATGATAAATTTTAGCCTATTTTCTTATCTTTATAAAATGAAATTTTAAATTTATATATGAAAAAAATGTTAGGGGTTCAAAATTTTTGGACTAAGTTTTTATATTAATTTTTATAGTACTTAATTCAAATTTTTATATTCGTATTATTCAATTATTAAATAATAGGTAATTTTGTGACATAGAGTATAAATGAAAAAAATTGGTAATTAAGTTTATTGAACATTATAAGTAAATATTTAAAACTAATGATGAGTAAAAAGAGTGGTATAAATTGATAACTTAGTTTGCAAAAATGAATTTAAACGAGTTTGCAAAAAGTTAAAATAAATGAGTTATAAATGGGTAATTGGGTTACCCAATTCATTTTTTGACTTACCCATTTATACCCATCTAATTAAATGGGTATAAATGAGTTGACTCACTTATACCCATTACCCATTTTACCCAACCCAAACCCGTCCAAGTCACCCATTTTGACACCTCTAGTTAGAATAGAGCTCCTCTAATACGTAAGGCAATTGAGGAATTAAATCTTATGGGCGTACCTAAAATTATTTCTCAATTAGAGCAGTGATTAACGGGCGTACCTTAATCACCGACACAGTAAGGAGGGGTTGACTGCCATCGCTTTTTTGGCAGTTATAACCTATTTATTAGTAAATAATTGGAATTGCTTTTGTTTTAATGATCAATTAGGTGAACCATTGCTGAAGTTATTTCTTGGTTAGAACTTTAGTTATCATTCATTTGTATTTAGTAAATTATTATTTAATTTTTAGTAGTTCCTTGGATTTTATTTGCATTTATTTGATTGTCACTCTCTGCACAAAAACACCCCCCGTGTCACTGTGAATTTGAAAAGGAACAATTACTTCCAGTCCCTGTGGATTCGACCCTGCTTACCGCTATCTACATAAATTACTTTTAGTTTGAGCGGGTTTTTATTATTGCACAGGTTTCGACAACCTGTCAAATATTACACACTCAGACAAGGCTTGATATATCATCATTAATCAGTATTAATGGATTTCTTTATGAGTCGAGTATAAGCCTCAAAACAACTTAAAGTAGTCCAATTTTCTTTTCTTTTTTTTTTTCCGTATGAGTGAGCTTCGGGTTGCCAAAACCTGGCTCATAAAGCCAGATTAACAGCCCTATATTATGCATTAAGTTTGTGGTGGTAGCTGTTAAAAGGTAACAACCATGTTCAACGAGTAATTAAATCGCTCTCAACAAACACTGTTTGCTTGCCTAAATATATATATATATAATTTCTAATAGGAAAAGGGCGAGATTTGAGAAGCAAAAAGGAGACAGGGAATTAAAATCTAGAACCATTAATTTTTGGGGCATCAACCTAACCATATTAGTACAACTAAATCATAAATCACAAAAGTGATGAACTTATTACCTTATTATAGGGGAAGAAGGTAAATATAGAAGACCAATTACTAAGTTACTCTTTTAGTTAGATACCAAACATATGTTCTGCTATATTAGTTTAAAAAAAAAAAGATAAAATCAACATGCAAGGAGAAAACCAAATGTACAGCATCAGAAACTAATTGTCCTTCATAAGCTTTCCAACCATACAAACCTTAGCAAACCAGTCAAACACAGCACTTTTTTTTTTTATTTATATTTATATATAATAAAAAAAATAAAAAAAGCAGGCTGAGATTGACAATTGACATGCATGGCGGCAAAGTGATAGAAACTGAAGCATGAAGTACGCGTATAAGACTCTGTCGGGTGAGCCCATGACATGGACATCGGCCGCATTATGTGTAGGGCGTATTTGAGAATTGATTGTCAGCATCCAAGGATTTTCTTTTTTTTTTCTTAATTATTTTCTTGGATAAAGAAAGTTTTGGAAAAAGAAAAAAATTATCAAATTGATACATAGAAGATACTACCAGAGCATTTTTCGTCGCTTACACGAATGAATTCTTAGTGATCACCTAATCAAGGGGAGCTACTAGTAGCAAAATCCTAATAGGAGCTTCCTCTATCGTAAGAGCAGGGCAATTTTATTTAAGAACTATCTTGGTTATTTTTTTAAAAAAAATTATTGTTCTAATGTGTTAGAATTTTACCTTTTTTAAAATATTTTTTTGTAATAGGAAAAAAGTGAGATTTAAGAAATAGGGAAGAAGTTAGATGTGAAATTTTCCTAACTTAACAAGTATGAATTTTGAAATGGGGCAATGGGGCAAATGTCCGTAGCGATGGGGCAAATGTATAATGGGGCAAATGTCCGTAGCGAGAGTGATGGAGTGGGGGTGGGCAAGAGATAGGGGGGGATGGGGGGGGGGGGTTTTCTTTCACCCACTCTTAAACGGGGCGGCGGAGAATACTTTTGCCCCATCCTCCGTCTTGTCCCCCATATTAATTAATCAAATATAAATAATATGATTAATACATCTATTTTTTTCATGTTATGTTCGGTTAAATTATTATTAGTAGCAATAATATTAGTTTTTCCTAATAATAGTGGGTCCGTTTGGATTAGCTATTTTTGGGGTTATTTTTCAAAAATAACACTGTAGCATTTCTTTTTTGAAATACAAGTCCGTTTGAATTAGTTGTTTTTAGGGTTGTTTTTCAAAAACTATATGAAAAACTTTTACTGTAGATTTTTTGGGATCATTTTTAGAGGTATTTTTAAAACATATTTTTTGAGTATTTTTATAATTTTTATAATTTTATATTTATATTTATATGCATTTATAATACATTTATAAATATTTATAAATAAATATATTTATATATTTATATAAAAATATATAAATGTATTATATTATATATAATACATAATATAAATACATTTATAAATATATAAGTGTATATTATTATAAATGTATAAATTATAAATGAATATTATATAAATGAATAAATTAATATATTATAAATATATATTAATATTATGTATAAATGTATTAATATAATTAATATGAATGTATAAATGTAAAATTAATATTATGTATATTAATATAAATGTATAAATGCATTATAAATGTATTATATTATATATAATACATAATATAAATGTATATTATAAATATACATAAATATATATTATGTATAAATGTACATTTATATAAATGTATAATATATATAATATATATAATATATTATATAATATATAATATTTATATAAATATATTATAAATATATAAAAATATATTTTAAATAAACTGAAATATTTATAATATGAATAAATAAATAAATAAATATATATAATATAATTAATATTAATTATAAATATTATAATATTATAAATATGGTGTTTATATAATATTTCAATTTGTAATATTTATTGTATATTTCATTAGATAAATATTTATATAATATATAATATATAAGTATATAATATAAAATTTTCAATTTGTATAATATACATAATATTGTATATATATATAATA